ACGTATATACAAAAAAATATTATATAGTACAAGTAAATAATAGATTTCAACGTCAAGATATATTAAAACAATATAGTAATCAATATTAATTGATTATCTTAACAAACATAAAAAAAGAGATTATTGATAATCAAATTTACACATAATATATAATATATTATATCTAAATACGCGTAATATATTACAATATGTGATATAAACATTTATTTTTATGATTATGACTACATTATTTTTAAGCCATAATATGGTTATATTAAAGTTAAATTATGCTATATAAATGTATTAAAATATGCTAATAGTGTATTGATAGGTAACCTTAAAACTAATATTGAATTCATATAATGATATCACAATATAAGATTTTAAATTCATAAAGCGTATCGATATAGTTTCTCGACAGTATTATATTGTATATACTTTGTAGTAAATAATATATGTGATGTGTGTCAAATCAGTCGATTACTTTTCAAATATCTAGAATGTCACGTACGATAATATGTGACCAACTTTTAAACTCATTAGTAGTACTAAAACTTTTATACAAATTTAATATTTTCTTGTTCAAATCTTATATTTATTACACACAATAATAGGTATATAATAATTAATAATTATTTAAACATTTGTTTTTGATTTTTTTTTTACAATCATGCACTGTGCTATTTTATTTAAAAGAATTGTAAAAAATATAAATACATTTTTCATTTCATATTATGAATAAATTAGTTCATAGTTATTTACGTAAAATAAAGCAAAATAATGTAGAGTCAATTATWSTCAATTAATACTTATTTTCTCTTCTGGATTCCAGGACAATCCAACATATAAGAATACGAATTCGTTGATCTTGCAGCCAAAACTGCAATCACCTACTCATTATCATTATACACACAGATCATTTCATTAAGTGACATACGAACGCTTATAACAAATAAATGTCAACTTCGGTGGTACCAGAAGTGGACATCTTACTACACAAAATTAAATCGTATTAACTATTAAGGATAATACATTCAATTGGAAATTCCCAATTGGAAATCCATTGAAAATTTGAGGCCATTATAACTAGATTCAAAATTAACCACACTCAAATTTCCAACAGTTTCCTAATGGCCAAGGAAGGACCTATAATGTGTCTATTATGTGGTATTTAAGCCACCATCAGCCACATCTTCACTGAATAACCTTCAAAACAAAATTTAAATAAAATTTAAAAAAAAATACTGATTTCATATTACATTGTTTATTTAATGAAAAGAAATACTTTTACCATCATGTCATMTAGTTTTTATCACAATCGTACAAAATCTATAGTTTTATACTTAAACAATAACATTTTTAAATTAATAACACACTGGTCAATGCTCGGTAAATCTACAGTGAACTGTTTCGTTCGATAAAACGGTTTATTATTATTTGTGTCGATATTGTAAAAAAAACAATGATGAAAAAATTATGAATATAATTACTATTGTGATAGTAGAGTGTTGAGAAGTTTTAAATTCAGAAATATTAAAACCTGTAAAGAATATGGTATTGATACTGCTTCATATATTTCGATTGAAGGACGTCACTAGTGACACTTTGAGCGCATATCCTTTGTCGACCTCGATCGAATAACAAACATATTAGGATTAGACAAARCGATTAGACGTCACATAAGAAAATYTTTTGATAAAAACTCTTGCATTTGATTGTTTTTCAATGAATAAACGTAGATAGGTGCACATAATTTATTCCTAGTTCAAAATATACTCAGATAATTTATTATTGGACTCTCATCCTTTTATTATTAACTTTGCTGCAGTTGTTGCGGTATAATCCAGAGTCATAATAATATGTGTTAATTATTATACAATATAATCCAAAATCTATTAATTTAACTTATTTTCTTTTTATTACTCTTAATAGTATGCATAACGTTAAACTTAAAATCATACACAACCAGAAAGATGCTTGAAGGATTTTCTCCCCTTCTATATCATTGGGATYTCGGTATACCAGTAGTGACCCGGAATACTATTATTATTATTATGTAGACGTCCCTAGATTTTAAGTGAGGTTAGACATCTGCACGTGCGCCGATGCAAGATCAAACCTATCAAATCAGCATATTATAATATAGTATTTTGACGGGAGAAGAACACCTTGTCGGTGACACCCTTTTGGTGACAGTGGGTATTTTAAAATAAAAAATAAATATTTTAGACTTTAATATAGTCGATTCCAAGTGGATATCATAAATAAAAAATGGATAAAATATTATTCGTTTTATTGTACAAATAAATAATATTATACGATTACAAGGTTTCATCGCATMTATCGCTACTACTCACTTTAGTAGTTACAATAAATTAATAAGTTTTAGATCAAATTGCACACTGTGTCGATGGACAAAAACGACAACAACAAAAACAACAACAACATTAATGACAATGATGAATACAATTGTTATGTGTTCGCGGATCATCAATAAATTATCAAAAAATATACAACACATCAAAAATGTAATAGCTATCTACTACGGTATAGAAATTTACAATTTACAGTCATCTAGTCGTTTTTCTCCACCGCGGCGATTTTATTGGGCACCATCGGTCCTGCCGACGTGTAATACTCGGTCGGTTGGTCGGGTCCGTTGTCGTGCTGCTGTTGCTGCGATGGCCGTATGCCCTTAAAGTACGCGCCCGGAGGGTTGGACTCGCCCGCGTAGTAGTTGGCCGACGAGCTGTGCATTTTGGCCTCGGTATGACCGTGGTACACGCCCAGTTCCTGATCGAACTGCGCCTCGGTTAAGTGCGCCGGCGGGGCGGAGTACGCCTTGACGTGGCCATGTTCTTGTTTGCCGAACAGCGTCTTYAGTCCGAGCATCCCGGAAATGGTGATGGCCAGCAGGCTGGTCATGATCGCTTTGCCGGCCAACATGAACAGCGCGCCGAACGCCAGCGGCATCAGCGTGCCGGCCATCACGGCCACGCCGGCCGCCAGCATTGGGCCGAGGTTTTTGTTCTTTTTGCCTCTACCTGCAACCCGACAGTGGTTTCGGTAAAAACGTCAAGCCAGATTATTGACAATAATAAAAATATATTATTTATATATTATATTTACAATTATCGTGCGCGTTAAAAGCATATCATTATTATGTTTTTAAATTGTTTAATTTTTTTAAACCTATGTATTTATACAACGTTACAATATACTATACGTTAAAAAAAAATATATGTATACGTTTATTGGTGGTTATAATAAAAACAGTTTATAATTTGTTCTTGTTTATGTAATTTGTAAATATTACATCCTTAGAAATCGATATCCTTAAACTCCTTGTATGCTAATGACGCCGAGGTTTATTTATTTAAATAAAAATTAAATAAATGAATACGAATATGGTTGGACACTGGGCATCAATAGAATGAACATTCTTGGGTAACAAAAAAATAATTACCGACAAAATGTCTTCAATTTAATTTTTTGTTTTTTTTTTTTAATATAGTATTTTTTCCTCGAAACTCCTTATTTGACGGCTACAAATATGAACATTTTTAAACTTAACGTGGATTAACACTATGCACGTTACCATGTACGATTTAACTRCCCAAACGTAACAGATTTATTAAATTAGATAATGTATTTAAATAACATTACGTATTGATAAGCGTTGTTAAAATATTATAATTATCATCTCCTACRATCAATATTTGTATTTCAGTGTTAACTAGATCCAGCAAAACAGCAGGAACATGGTTAGTCGTGAAATAGAACATAATATTATGTACAAGCACTCTGGTWGTCTGATATACCACTAGTTTACCTGTAAGCCGATAAATCACCCGTACACGCTACCATACCACCATCAAGAAACTTTCTTTTATAGAATTGAATAGTTAGCCTGAGAACTCGGTTAACTCACCGTTGAGGAACGACGACTTGAGCAGCGACCACGGAGAGGTGACTTCGGCCGGCAGGTCGAACCCGAACGAAAACAGTCCCAATATGTTTTGAATCTGCTCGAGGAGGTATTCCTCGATGCCTTTGGACTGCTGTTGGAGATGACTACCTCCACCGACGGWCGAGAGGTCTTCCCTTCGGCTCGCGGCGTACARCAAGGCGTTTTTGACKATTCCTTTAAATAGACACAAGCCTGGACCGTCGGCGGAAGTGCACTGAAATGCGCCAAACGACCTTTCCGGACCGGAATCGCCATGGMCAGACGAAAATCGCACGACGACAAGGATCCCAATGARACACCACTTGATGATGGTGGACATGTTGGACGTCYAAGTACGTAAGTCTACTTAATATCTATAATATTTTATTATAAATATATTGTAACGATACGGTCGCTCAAGTCGTCGTTCGCATGAGTCGAAACTCGCACTGATGCGGTCGCAGACGTTTGGTCACCTATATATAACTTCGATCGGGTGCCGTTTCTAATTTTCGATTAGTTTTCGGTTTTCGATTTGCAGTTTCGTTTTTTTTTTGTTTTTTATATATCGTCCGTTTTTTAATTGGCCGATCGATTCGTCGCGCGAGACTAATGAACAGATTCTGACGACGCGGGCTCCGTGCGATGTTATTATATTATTTATAGTAGACTGCCGCAAAATGACATAAATATCTCTCATTTATAGGTGCACGTGGACGTATATTATTGTACTTAATGGTATATGTAGGTACGTCGCGACGGCAATGTAGGTATAATTTTGTAGTCGCACCGCGAGCATACTTTCGATCAGGACCCACATGTCCGGATGTGCGTGACGATTTCCGACCGCAACGTGCAGACGCGCATCGGCCACAGCACCCGCCCTTGACTATGATACTTAATCGGTGGCCAGTTCTGTAGGCACACGACTGGCTACGACAACGCAGTACAGTTTTCGTCTCGACCGTCGACGGGATGACTATCATGAAGTTGAGGAAGTTGGGTTTTGCAATTTTCGTGGCTTTGTCTTTGCAGGCCACCCACATCGGCGCGCAAGAACAACCACGTCCGGCAAACACCGCCCAACCCACCATAACTACCATTAACACCACCGCCGACACCACTAATACCATCGCCAATGGCAGTTACTTTGTCGGCGACGTAACTTCACTGATCCGAGCCAGATCACAGGAGATGACTGTCGGTGGTTTAGATCTTGCGCTGCAAGAGTCGCCAACAGATCTAGCGGAAGGTACGTACTCATATTTTTCGCTTTCAATACAGAGATRTAATCTGTTATAATGTTTTTTTAATATTTAAATTTAAGAGCGGGGTAAAAAAAATAATAAGAAGAAAAAGACGAAGAAAAAGAAGAAGCCGAAGAAGAAGAAGAAGAAGAAGAAGCCGATATTTATTGGCTTGAAGGATTTGAAAGGTTTGAAAAATCCTTCTAAGAACATGATGATCGGTGGCAGCATGATGACAGCTTTTGTCTTGATATTTATGTTCATGAACATGATAACTGTGACGCTTGGAAAAGCGTTATTTTTCACGTTCATCGCCAAGTTTTTGATTTCCGTAAATTGGAAATCGTCGGATTCCTCGACAAAGAAAAAATCTTCTCATGATGACATAACTGTTGTAATGACTTAAAAAACTCTTACCACCAAAATCGTTTTTTATTTTTTTAAATAGTAACCGACAATATTAATATAACAAACAAATAAATAAATAATATTATATTCTACAACGGTATATATTGTACATAAATTTATATATATATATTCATTAAAGGTGAATTAATTAAATACATAATACAATGGTTCGTATAACCTATCATTAATATTATACTAAAACTAGAATCTTGAACCATTATGTATATTATTGTTAGTTTTAATCATATTGTTGATTGCCATATTGAATAGGTTCGCTTTGAACTGMATTGTATTGAACTTCATTGATCTAAAAATACAAAATAATTAAAACTCTTGTGTTGAAGTTTAAAATATTTTTAAATTCCTGAGTCCTCACACCAGTCATCTCAGTAGAGCCCAGTATTCATATGTATACGAAATTAAATTAAATATATAGAAAAAATAATAACAAATAATGATAATTGTGGTAAATACATATTAATTGATTTATGGTTTTAGATAATAATTTTATGTAGATACCTTATTTTATTATAATTTAAAATATTTTAAGGTGAACTACTTTAAAATAAACGTTTTTATCTATCTTCAACGATTTTCGGATGTGGTGTCTTACAAATGAGTTAGATACTCAAGAAAATAATAACTACCTAATTGTTTATCGCCAATTATAGAAAAATAGTACATATTTTACTGTTTATTTATTGTGTGTGCTGCAGTTGTTGTTTTGTTTTTGTAAGAATTTATTAAAGATAAATAAGTGTAAAAAATGTTGAAAGTTAAACTGTCGTTTTTTTTTCTATCACATGAGTAGTTACGTGCGTAAAAATATTGTAATTTTTTAGTTGTATTATTGCACTGAAAATGTTTTTTCGGACATTTTCATAAAAAGCTCTTAGTGCATATTTTAAATTCAGTCCCTGATGGTAATTAAATAATTATGTTCTGTTATTCAATATTTAGTTATCGGTGTGAGATAGACGTCTCAGTGAATTTTGGAAAATTCCGAAAATCACGGTCATTTAAATTATAGTAGATGGTGCGAGATATGATAAAATATACATATGCATGTCAGCAATATTTCATCCTGACAATTTTGTACGCCAATATTGCATATGTTATGCTTCATTTCTTTTTGGTTAAAAATTGATCACATGGCTC